CTTCCAGGCTAAATCTAAATTTTGTTTTGTATATGAAGAAAGGAAGTTTTATTTTATCAAATTTTTTGGCATTACAATTTATGCAGGTATATTGCTAAATCTCAGAACTTTAAAATAAAAAAAAAAAAGAATAAAAAAATTTATTCTAAACCAAAATCTTCTCACTATCTTCTCAACTTAATGTACATCCATGATGTGTTTTCAATATTTTTCGAAAAATGTATATGGGTTAATAATCAATATTAAATCTTAAAACTCTGAATTAGTCTCTCTAGCAAACTTTTCTTTATATTAATATTTCTATATTATATGTATAGAAATATGAATTGCAGATAATTTACACGCAAACACAGATTTTATTAGAAATTTTTATTTAACATTGTTTTTAAACATTAATGTCATGCATTAAGAATGTATTTCAATGTTTACTGCCAATACTGAAAATTTATGTTACTTATATGTTCATGTTACTTATATGTATATTAACTACAAATTTTAATTATTGGCAATAATTATCGGAATGCAGCCTAACATATGAAGTACAAAACATTTTTCGATATTTAAATTTTTGTAGATACTTGAGTGGTAATCTGAACATAAATTTTATTGCTTGTTCTTTAGATACGTGGATAGTTATAACTTGGACAAGGGACCGGTATTCTATGAGGCATACTATCCGAACACTCGTGACACTCATGAAGAAAAACGCTTTGATCAAAATACGGTGTTGGAAACAAGTTTTCAGGTGCCATTCGAGCGTATCGCGCATTCGGAAACTACAAATCATCCTGTTACGATTAATGAATCATTCATCATTATGGATAACGAAATTTTACCGAGAAAACGGAAAATGACAGAATCTCAACGCAATTATGACACTACAAGTGAACTTGCATCTTTCTCCAATGAACGTTCAACGACTTTCGATGATGATAAAAATTTGCAAGCTGCGAATATCGAAGAAATTTCTAAGCTTGTTAGAAGAGCAATTTCCCGTGATCTAGAAAATTGGAACACTCTTGAAGGATATCTCGATCGTACTGTCCATCGACCTCAGCTGGGAATTTATTCTAGAGAAATTAATAAAAATGGAGAAGACGGTAATTATATGTTTCCAGTAAATCGTAAATTCGTCGAAATGGATTCGTCGAAACTGTCGAGTTTTGAGGCGTCATTACCTCGTAAATTGGATGTGCGTAATGTAAAAGAACGACCTATATATTTCGAAGGAGTCGATACGAGTGGAAGAACTAGCGAAATGAGTATCAGCGGAACGCAAATAGTTGATATACCATCGTTGATCGATATCTCCGACTCGTTACCTCCGGAGAACATTTTTCAACCGCGGCCTCAAATCGTTAGATACTTGTTTTTCAAGAAACCAATGCCTCCGCGATTGGACAAACAAAATGAGAAGCCGATCGATCAATCTACACCACGAACTTACGGTGACGATCTCATTCGTGAAGAAATCAATGATGCCCGCGATAGAATAGGAGAAAATGTCAAAGTAACATCTATCGAAATAAGTGAACAACCACGACACAAAACGCGTCATCATCATGGTGAATTTCCTCATCGTCATCGCTCACAACCCACTGCTTATCCGACTATTTCATAGAAAAATGTATGTAATTTTAATTATTAGATTTATATTGTTTTCCGACTATATCTCGTATCATTAAATAATATTGCCTGTACTATCTCAATACTATTTATTAAATATACCATTAAATATACATGCAATAATTACACTATTCTTTATAACATACTTACAATAAAATATTTTCTGTGACTTATTTTTAAGAGTTATTAATTAATAACATCAGTTAATTTTAAAAGTAAAGAGATTTTTCTCTCTGTCTAATATGCTACTTACTATATAAAGGCATATTCAGTTTAATAAGATTATTAGTGCAACTTAGCCTACTCGATTCGATCATTTTTCTACATTAATCATATAGATTACTTATAGATACTCGGTAAATATATATTTTATATATAATCTTATCAATTTTTCATCCAGCTAAGAAATAATTACAGGCTTCGAATTGTATGCATAATGGAAACAAGCGTGGACGTATTAAATTTTAGATGTTTTCTGCACAATCTTATTACTTATCGATCATAAAAATATTATAGGAATGTTTACAGAATTCTTTTTATAATCTTAATTCTACGTAGTGATGCTTGTATGAAATCCAATACATCGTAATGTAAACCAGAAGTAACTACATTCCGACGCTTCTATATCGATCATGAAGATAAATACAAAGATGAAACCGCAAGTACTTTACACATAGTCTACTCTACTGGAACACAACCTTTTTTGGTGAATAGTCTCAGTTATCTACATCTACAATTTTATGTTTTATTTCTGTGAATTACTTCTTGAACATTAAGCTAAATTCTTATCTTAGTGCGAAAAAAATTCTTCATATCTCTATGGAAAAATGGATTTCTTATTTGATAAAAAAAAAATCATCTACTATACGTTTATGTACTAATTAGGCGAATAAAGAAATTCTTTCTATCTTTCATCCATCAGATATTTTTACCACTTGCTTGTTTTAAAATCAGATCGGGCTTAAAGCAAAATTATGGAATATACTATAATCTCTGCAATTAAAAATATAGTACGTACAAATAAGGAACAGATTTTCAAAATGCGATTTGTTCAAGAAGTTTTGTAATTTGTATTTTTCAGAAAACGAGAAAATACTATGCACACAAGAATTATGCACTTTACAAAAATTAGCAATATGTCAATCAGTAAAATGTAGAATATTAAACAAAATTGCTTAACAATTGCTAAAAATGTTAAACAAATGTATTTTGTTTCTAGTTAAAAACATAATGCACTTCGAAATGTCTATATTTTTTTAGCATATAAATTAAATAAAAACAATGAAAAAATGCTTTCTGAACATCTCAGAGTAGCTTATAACATTGAACACTGAACACTACACGCCATCTCTAACTAAAAAAATGAAATTTTGGACAAAACGCATTTTGAAAGTCTGTTCCTCAATATGTGACAATGAAAAGATGTTATATTAGCTTCAATTTCAACTTGTAAAATTGTGTGTGTGTGTGTGTGTGTGTGTGTGTGTGTGTGTGTGTATGTGTGCATATCTTTTAATTACATGCTTATCAGATATGTCCGAAATAGTAATTTATGAAAATGTCATCGGAAACAATTCGTTATTCGTGTCCAAATATGAATCACATCCAAGGATCCATTAGATTTCAATTCTCAACTAGCTTGTTGTCTCATCTAAAAAATATTTTCTGATACAGAGATAAGACACATGTTACCTTTATAAAATAATACTAATCCTATAAAATATTAATTCTTATAATTTGATTATTATGTTATTGCACTACACAATATTTTTGCCATAAAAATATTTATGCTATCACAATAGAAAAATTAATACCAAAAGAAACGGGAAACATTTGATTCACCTGTATGACAATGTGGATTATAATTGGACATCACAAAATTGCGTAAAATCTGATATGCTTCTTCCAAATTATCATTTTCTATGACAATGTCAAAGTTACCAGGTGTCTCACCTATAAGCAATATGTGAAACATTTAGACATGAGTGTGAATTTTAAATAATTTTCTTAGTAATTAATTGTGCATATTGTGTAAACTATAAAGCATACCATATTCTAATTCAGATTTGGCAACTAATAATCTACGTTTCAAAGATTCTTCAGTTTCTGTGTTTCTATCCTTTAATCGTTGCTCCAATTCCATAATAGATGGTGGTTTTACAAATATGTAAAAGGGATTTAGATCGATGCGTTTTATTTGTTTTACACCTTGTACATCAATATCTAACACGCATATCTTTCCTAAACTTTGTACATCTTCAACTGCTCGTTTGCTAGGGCATTTAGATTGTATATTGTTTTTCTATACAATTATTTAATATTTGTTTATATTTACCTCGTTCCATATAAATTCCCGCTAAATATAGCAGTTTCAATAAACTCCCCATTTTCTATTTGTTCTTGCATTCTTTCTTTGTTTGTGAAATGATAGTGAACCCCATCTTCTTCACCAGGCCGTGGCATTCTAGTTGTATGAGACACCGAAAATTTGAACGTATCGGGAAATTCATCGAACAATTGCTTTATCAGAGTACTTTTTCCAGAGCCCGATGGACCACAGAATACTAACGGACGTAGTCCTTTATGAATCATATTGAAATAGTCTGAAAATATATTTTCCATTCTATCCTTTATTTGCTACTTTGATATTCGAACAGATAAGTTATTTTCAAACGCGCGCTATTTATGTGCCATTTTGTCAGATTAAAATTTTCTTTTTTACGACACCATGAACAAAACCATGGATTCTGCATACCTATTTTTATTGTTCTAAACCATTGTATGAACATAATGATTAAAAGGATGCTGGCCGCTCATAGCAAAATTTTGACTCTGTATAATTCAATCATACAAAAATAGAATGAGAATATAACTATAACTAATGGATGATAGTTTTAAATTTTAAAAAATCATAAATATATACATGATAGTGACTTTTTTTTATCTCGAAATAATAAAATTATTTGTCTCATCGATCGATCAAATTGATAAAACATTTAAAATATTTAAAAAAACTACACTACATAAACAATGTACATAAAGTTAATATCATTTTATATTCAAATAAAATAATATAAAAGCATCATTTTGAGAATTTTGGTCAATTGCTATTCATAGCATCACGATCTTAATGGTTCTATAATAAAACGGGCATCGGATGAAATTTGTCGATGTAATGTGAATTTGTTATATGTATAAACAAGTGAATTGTCTTAAAAATTAATAATCAATATTTTAATAGTTGATTCAGTGCTTTGAATCAACTATTTATGTTGAATCCAGTACATTGAATCAGCAATTTACACTTTTACTATTCTTTTATAACAAATTTTATTACAATACTAGAGAAAGAAGAGTAATAGTTAATCAAATTATCTCCAGGATGTACTTATAAATCATTAATTGATATACACTCTGTTAGGGTACATAGCGCCGACAATGATTCTGATCCTTACCTTTGACTTTCTATATATAAACAAGAGCAAATGATTGTAGTTACGTATAAGACAAAATATAAGCACAATGTAATATAATATAAATACAATAAAATTTAACCGTCTAGTCAACCAATATTGCTATCGAGATACGTATCGTACGATATGTACCCACGGTCCATGGTGTGTGAAATCTGATTCCATCATGTATGTACCAACCAAAATAAGGATGTTCGATCTTCGATCCAAGATTGATTTTTTTAGAAAATCGATTCTTTTATCTTCGATTTTCGATTTTTTAGATTGATTCTTAGAACCTCTCTCATTAATTTGGGGCTGTGTTCAGAAACGTTATCCCGCCCGGTTATTACTCCCAAGTATTACATCCTTGTTTTTTACCGAACATTAAACAGGGATGTCATGAAATTCGTGCAGAAAGAAACATAAGAGAGAACATGAGGGCCTGTTTCTTGTAACCGCAAAATGGTGCCCTCTGAGGATGTGGGTGTAAACTACACAACAATATCCATTTTTGTCGGTGCTCCTGAGTATCAATCATGAACCTTTATCCCTAGGAAAGTGAAAATTTTAATGGAAAATTTTTCACTTTTCATTTTTCATCTTAAGAAAAAAGTTTCATGATTGACATCCTGATGGAAATAAGCCGCTGAAATCTCTATTAATTTGACAGATTTATTTCAGCGATTTCAGCGATTTAATTCCATCAGGCCTATTTATTTCCACCGCAAAAAAATGAATATTATTGTAGGTCTGTTCGCGTTGATTGCACTTTTGGCACTCGACATTTTCGCTTTCTCTTTTTTCAAAGCAAAATATGGATCTATCTCATTTTAAGTGCAAAAATGTTTGCGGATTTCATGCAATGCATTAGGGCCTGTGCAGTTTATATCCACTTCTTCTGAAGACAGTAAAAGGCGATAGACATGAAGAATGGCTTCAATTAATTGACAAAGAAACATTGTTGGAAAGGACTGTATCTGTGAGATATAATTTTTTATCTGTGAGGTGTTATTTTCCCTTATAATACAATCATATATAAGTTTTGAATAATCGCGCGTCTTAGATCCAAAATGGCGGCAATTCGCGGTAGTTTGTTATCTATGACTTTAGTCTCGTTTGCATGATAGGTCATATCAATTTTATATGAAGAATATTCCATTCTTCATGCAGAATTAATGACAATTATTTACGTCTTCCTGTTACATTCAGAGCATCATATCAAAGAATTAATGTCTCTATTTTTAGATTATATGTGTCGATTGTGTGTATATGAGGAGTTTTGCGATTTAAACGCCGAGCACTACTAATGCCAATTCAGCAACCTGATTTTGACTAGAGTCTCTAGAACCACCAGAGTCTGGCCATGCCCTAAAAATTTCTTAAATATGACCTACATGAGGATTTTTGCCGATTTTGCGTATTGACTCGCTTTTCGATACAGCTTTAAAATTCTAACTGACAGTCGTAGGAACGTATAAATCTTATTATACATTATTTTAAAGAAAATATAATTTAAGATTGTACTTTTCTAAAAAATAAAATGACTTCCTACGAACTTCCTAAGAATTTTTTCAAATCACCACAAAAATAATTTATACAATTGTCAATTTATTTAACAAATCATTAACGATAAGCATTACAATAACACAATGATTATATGATTTATTTCATTTTTTGTAGTTACTGTAATTTTTTTAGATTCAAATCCACATAAACATCGAGATTTTAAACATTTTAAAATTACAAATCACGAGTTTAGGTGGAAATACACGCACACACGCATACCAGAGACACATACTTATCCAATAAACATCAAGTCAAAAAATGAATTTGATCTAACTACATTGCACAGATAAAATTTTACATGTAATATCGAAATCTTTAAATTATTAAATTATAATTGATTATAGCTCAACATGATTATATCAGGCAACATTTTTTCATTGGCTAAATCTATAAGATTTAGCAATTATAAGTATAAAAAAAAATAATTAAAAAATAACTAAACTATTTATTTTGACCATTACGCAATTAACTATAAATAAATATCACATTCGGTTCACTGTCATAAATGTTTCGTTATATACTTTCCACGATGATATTAATGTCATTTACAATATGGGCACTGCTACTTGTACTTTCAAACATGATTTTGTTCTCCTAAGTATCTTCTATCTTGAGATAAAAGTTAATCTGTACATAAGATATTCAAGTTAAATTTGAGGGGGGCCCGCTGGATTTGCTTTATTTGTTCTACGACGTGCCAATTCAGACATAACCACGGGACCAATATGTGGTGATCTTGGGCTACTTGCTATTACTCTGTATGTCTCTGCAACTGCCATCTGAAATTATAATATTATGATAAATTTGTTAAAAATGTTATATAGAAAAGGAATAACATATTTTCAATTGTAACATATTTTCAAATAAATGCTACAAATACATCTATTATTAACAATAACAATCTATATTGTTAACGAAATAAATATTTGCGAAAGTAATTATTACTTTTCGATAGTAATATATTCATACCTTTAGGCTATGTGGATCTTTAATAACATCCGGCAATACTTTTGGAGGGATACGATGTCGATTTACAATCCATGGATATTTTAAAATCATAGTTGCTGTAGGTCTTCGAGTGGGATCCAAGTGCAACATTCTCTTAACTAGTTCTTTAGCTTCGGTGGAAATATGACACCATATCCCATTTTCCACGTCTATATATCCTGAACCAATACGATCTAATATATCACTGGCACTATCTCCTGGGCTGTTACGAAAGGGCGTGTACCTATGTATCAAGTAAAAAAAAATGATAAAATCAATTCCTATCATTTTATAATTGCATATATTAAGTAGTTATTTCATTCTCAAAGTTTTTAATACCCAGCTAGCATGATGTATAATAAAACTCCGAGTGACCAAATGTCACATGCTGCATCATATCCTTGACGTTTCAACACTTCAGGTGCTACAAAGTTGGCTGTATAACAGGGCGTCATTAACAAACCGTTCTCCGCTCGTAATTGTGTTGCAAAACCAAGGTCACATATACAAAGTGTTGTTGGATCACCACCAGGTTTTGTGTACAGAATATTTGATGGCTTCAAATCTCTATGAACAACCTATTTTTTTTTTTTAAGCAACAACTTCATCGTTTCCTTGTATGTAGGTGAATTTCATATAGATGTACAAATTGAAGTAACTATACAAAAATGTTTGTCATATTTATACATTTAAAGATCACACTTACTCCGTTCTCATGGAGATAATGTACCACACTTGTAACAGTATAAATGACCTCAGCAGCTTCTCTTTCGGTGAAATTTCGTCTTTGTAGCAAACGATCGAGGAGTTCACCACCGCGTAAAAGTTCCAATACTAGATAAACTCGTTTATCATCTTCATGAACTGCTCTCAACGTTACAATGTGAGGATGTCTACCATATCGTAGTAGAATTTCTATTTCCTCTGTCGGATCTCGTTTCGATTTCTCAATCACCTATTTCATTAAATCATTTAGCTAGCTTTCTATTTCGCATATCTTTTCACAGATACATCTTATTTCAACTTTTATACAGAACTTTACCTTTACAGCATACTCCATTTTGGATGCTGTGTGAACAGCCAAGTAAACCACACTGTAACTTCCTCTGCCAATTTCATGTTTAAATTCGTATTCGTCAGTTATGGAAACAGGATTAACATAGGTTGGAAAAATAGCACTAATGTTATCATAGTGTCTATATTCATGAGATATAACACGATCCGCATCCGTAAGTAAACAGGGTGCGACAAAACTGAATCCGCGAAATAATTCATGAGCATTTGCGCTAGGTGGTACTCCAGGAGAATCTGAAAAAATATGTCATAGTATATCTTTTATAATCAGGATGTGATTTTATATAATTATTAACTTGATTCTATAATTACATAATTATTAACTTGATAACTCTATTTTATGTCCTTCTTTTTCTTTCTATTTAAAAAAAAAAAAAAAAAAAAAAACTTACCTTTAGGTGTTTTACAAGTAAATTCGCTGTCGAAGTAAAATGCATTGTCCTCCCTAACAGCTGGTTTAAATGGTGGTCTTATTTCTTTTTTATAAAGAGCGTCCCAATCAATGGTAGCAAAGAAAATATGACTTTTAATCTCTTCCACTCCACCTAAAAAATAAAAAAATTTACGTATAAAAAAACTTCTACACGATAGCAGGTATGCGTTACTTAAGGCTCTATTATTTCTTCAAAGCATATAAAATATGTAAGGCAAGCCCTTTACCAGATCCAAGACGATTTGCTGGATTCCTTTTGAATAATACTCTCAAAAGCGCTTGCGCTTCTGATGAAAGATTGTGCGGCATACCGAGTTTAGCTTTCAAAATTTGTGTCATCGTTTCTTTGCGATTTGCACCTTGGAATGGGAGGGCGCCTGTCAGCATTTCAAACTGAAAAATTTAAAAAGCGTCACATAATTTTGATTTTTCTTTTTACAGCTATGATAATTTACATTCAGTAATCATATTCAGATGTGATATTTAAAGTTTAACCCTAACCATTAAAACACCAAAACTCCACCAATCCGCTGTAAAAGTATGTCCTTTTCTGTTGACAATTTCAGGTGCCATATATTCAACAGTGCCACAAAATGAATATGCTTTCGAATCGTCTAAAGGTTGCTTGCTTAAGCCAAAATCTGTCAAAGATATATGGCCTTCTGTATCTAACAAAATGCTATCGCGTAAAAAAAAAAGTTAATTAAATATTTTAATAGTCAATGCTTGTTAAAGAAACATATGATATGTATATATAATATGTAAACAATACAAACTTTTCAGGCTTCAAATCCCGATAAATAATTCCGAGTTTATGTATATGATCCAATGCAAGTGCCAGTTCTGCTAAATAAAATTTGACATCCTCTTCTGTAAACATTACCTGAAAGATTAATTATAGTAATAATTACAAATATATTTGAGAGTTTATTTCAATGATTGTAGTGTGGAAATTATATCGCCATTATCTCAGCTGAAAATGTATTTCGCATAGATATAATTTTCATCCAAAAAATATCGCGTTCTCGAAATCGCGAGAGAACACATGCGAATATCGAAGATACCTGCTCAAGCTGTTCGAATCAGAAAAAAAGGACAACACAGAGAGACAGACACGAGACAGTTATATTGACGAATGTAAACAGCGGCAGCAAAGCGAGTAATAATCAACGAGACGTTTAAACTGCATTCATTTATCGGAGCATGTGTCAAATAATCCGACATTGCAGTCGAGCGCAATGTTGTACATGCTGTAAGTCGCTAGAGAAATTAGATGCAACTGCTGCATTTCGAAGAAAACTAAACCACAGGATCACATATATTTTAAATCGAAA